GGAAGGGGGAAGGATCGGTCGCCCATAAACTACGCCGGCACTGCTTACGATTCTGCGACTTGAAACTCAACATTTACGAATCTGCTCGACCAGCAAACATAGTATATATTATAAGTGAACGTGAGGAAACCTAAACTAACTTAAAGTTTCAAGTTAAAGTTTCAAGTTTAATATCGATGTTGATAATGGATAGCCAGCTCTTTCCGTGCTAAACTGCTTTTCTCACCGATAGTGGTTCAGTATTACAACAGTACTAGTAGAAAATGAAAACTGAACTAACTTTATAGTTCTGATACTGCATAGCTCTATCAGTTCTAAATTGAATTTGGAGGTCCATTGTGTTTGGTTGAGTCAGGGACTCTGAAAGAACTCTCACTTACATCAGAGGTACAGGAATGTAAAAATAAAAGACACTTGCCGTTCTGGCACAAACACACCCTATTCCACGTAGTTGTAACAGTTAAAATTCGTAAACGTTAATTTATTTTCGTAATTCGTGAGAAGCGTAGATGTTAACTAGGTCCTATAAGGTCAAGGATCTTTTTGTGGTTTATTACAATTTACAATGGAATCAAGATAACGAAATATCTAAACTAGAAATAGTTTACACTCAAAACTGCCCCCGGCTGATTATGGTGTGCCAGCCTAATGAAAAGCTTTAAAGGTTAAACTGTTTAAAGGTTAAACAATAACAAATTAAAAACTCCGTGTCTATCAAGTATCAACTATACGATTTGGATCGTGACTAAAACACCACACGAGTACATACGTAACATACGAGTAACACACGAGTAACACACGAGTACATACGAGTACATACGAGTAACATACAAGTACATACGAGTAACATACAAGTACATACGAGTAACATACGAGTACATACGAGTAACACACGAGTAACATACGAGTACACACGAGTAACATACGAGTAAATACGAGTACATACGAGTAAAATACGAGTAAAATACGAGAATTAGCACGCTTTCTTTAAAGTTTCTTTCACTTTCACACTTTCACTTTGGCTTCGTATTATGTTCATGTTGTAGATGCCTTATTGACATAGGCGTACGAGACAGGGGGCCGGGGGGGGGGGCAACTGCCCCCAAAATTTTGGAAAAATCAAGAAAATTCGGGCAGATTTATGAGAAAATATGTTAAAATCAGGTTAATACTTTAAAATTCTCCATAAAAATTCGGGCAAACTTTCAACTCCCCCCCCAGAAAACATATTTCTTTAAAATTCTCCATAAAAATTCGGGCGAACG